AAACTTTCTCCAAAAAATGACTTATCTCAAAATAATGAGAAACTTTCTCAATATTTGTACTAAGTAACTCGAAATAATGACATAGTTTTTCAAAATAATGAGAAAGTTTCTCAAAATAATGAGAAACTATCTCAAAATTAGAAACTTTCTACCCTGCAATATTGGGATATATTACTTTAAAGCAACATCGGCTCATCCTTATCCCCTAATCTGTAATGAGGAATGTTTCTAAACACATTTAATAACCTTCTACAGGTTACCTTTGGGAAAACACATTGCGAAGTGGTGCAACGAGCCTGACTGGTTGCGACATTATAGGTTTTTTTTTTTTTTTGCTTTTCGCACAACTCAGAAAACACCAGCGCACTCACCAACACAGAGACCTTCCATTACCTCCTGGTGCACTGTTGTTTGTGTCCTCTGGAACGTAGCGGGCCTCTGTTTTGTTGTTGTTGTTGTTGTGGACTGCGTCAGGCTGCACTCTTTCCAGAATGGGGCTTACAGGACATTTCCTCTTACCTTTTTTAGACACCTGTCGTCGTGCGGCATTTTGATGACAAGAACCCCCAGAGTGCTTTGCGTTCAAGACTGGGACACGATGACGGCTGTTCCTCAAAGCAGAAACTTCATCAGTCTCACCAACAAAAGGAAGGAGTACTCCGAGCGCAGGATCCTCGGGTAATTCTCTCCAGTGTCACCTAGTCGTATGTTGTTTTGTTGCTGTTGTTGTTGTTTTTTTAAAGCCCATAACCTCGCGGTGCTTGCTGTCGTAGGTTTTCCATGCAGGAGATGTACGATGTGGTGGCCAATGTTGACGAGTACAAGCTGTTTGTGCCCTGGTGTAAGAAGTCCCAGACCATCATGAAAAGAGCCGGACACTCGAAAGCACAACTTGAAGTGGGATTCCCTCCGGTGGTGGAAAGATACACATCTATGATCAGTAGTGTCCGGCCTCATCTAGTGAAGGTAAGTGCCGGCTGCTTCACTGAGTCTGTCAGTCCTGTGAATGAACATCTGTACGATTTTAAATAATTTAAATGATGTAAGAGAAAAGCCGACTAAGACACTAATGCTAATTTTTGTTTAGTGAATATTGTTTATGATGTTAACAAGTGTTAATATAATGAGAAACTTTCTTGATATTTTGACTTAGTATCTCGAAATACTGAGAAACTTTCTACAAAATAATGACTTAGTATCTCAAAATAATGAGAAACTTTCTACAAAAAAATGACTTATTATCTCAAAATAATGAGAAACTTTCTACAAATAATGACTTATCTCAAAATAATGAGAAACTTTCTCCAAATAATGACTTAGTATCTCAAAATTAGAAACTTTCTCAATATTTTTACTAAGTATCTCGAAATAATGACTTAGTATTTTAAAATTCTTTCTCAATATTTTAAAAATACTAAAGATACACTGAGAAACTAAATCATTATTTTAACAAACGGTCTTCCATATTAACACATTAGCGTGTTTATTGGAAAGATACACATCTATGATCAGTAGTGTCCGGCCTCATCTAGTGAAGGTAAGTGCCGGCAGCTTCACTGAGTCTGTCAGTCCTGTGAATGAACATCTGTACGATTTAAATAACTATAATTTCATTGCTCAAAGCTCCTGATTGTAATCACAGAGTTTCTCTTTTGGGGGGGGTTTTAGGCCGTGTGTACAGATGGAAAGCTGTTCAATCACCTGGAGACGATATGGCGCTTCAGTCCTGGCATTCCCGGTTACCCTCGCACCTGCACGGTAGACTTTTCTGTAAGTAGCCTGCAGCTCGCTTCTTGTGGTGATTCGTTGGCCGTGTTTCAGACACTCTTCATACATTTGTTTTTGTAATTACCTTGATAAAAGTCTCACACAGTGAGTACATTTCTGGCAGCTCCCATAGAAAAGTGACTGTGTGCTGCAGTTTAGTCTTCATCCCTGACGTCTTTTACTTAAAAAAAAATAGTTTGAAAACACTTCTGGTAAAGCACAAAATTCCCTTTTGGCTTTGTGTCACTCGACCAAGAACGTTTTCTATTGCGGCGACTTCTTTCCCTCATTGTGGTTCGATAAACCTTAATGGACTCAGAGAACTGCTGTTGTAGTGTAACCCGTTCCACGCTCAAACAAACCTTGATGAGCAACACAAAGCTAAAATGTTCTGTTTTATCAGAAGTGTGTTCAAATAGTAAACAGGAAAACGCGTATTAGATTTCTTGAAGAGAGTTAGATGAGAAGCTGTTAAGTCTCAGTTCAGCTCCAGTTGGCTTAACTGTATAAATGTAGCTTTAAATACTGGAAGTCGGGGGGGAAAACGGCTCGCAAACAAAGTGTAGAAACAAGAAGTTGAAGTTCTACGAGTGGTTATGTGTGGGATTATATCTTTTCCTCAAGCAGTGACTTCCTGGAGTCTCCGCTCTAAGATGATAACAGTAAGTCGAGCCAAGAAATGTAACGTTTGTTACCTGAAGACAGACGAGCAGTTTCCTCAGTCCGCTCTTTATGCTAAGCTACAGACGCAACAATTATATTCTCATCTAACCCTTAACAAGAATGCAATGTGTGTATTTTCCAAAATGTCTGTCCACCTTCTGTTGTTGCCACATTTTGAGGACTAACCTGCTCTCTGGCATACACTAAAGAGATCATTATTATTTCTGTATCTTTAACAGATTTCCTTTGAGTTCCGCTCTTTGCTGCACTCCCAGTTAGCCACCATGTTCTTCGACGAGGTCGTAAAGCAGAATGTCGCCGCGTTTGAGCGGCGAGCCTGTAAGCTCTACGGTCCAGAGACTCGCATCCCACGAGAGCTGATGTTTCACGAGGTGCATCAGACGTGATCTCGGCACCCGTATGTCCTCATCCGGCCTTAAATCATACCAACCTTTATTTCCTTTATCCACACGAACCTGCATGATGCTGCTTAGTCACCCATCACGTCAAGTCTCCATCGCAGCTCCCGAAGATGTGTCACATCCGACTCTTGTACGCATTATGTTGGAATTGCTGCCTCAACAGGTTCTCGCTAATCTCCTCCTCCTCCTTTCTGTCTACCTCCAACTTGAAGGGATCCTTGTTTAGCGGAAGGACCTCACCATTGCTCTTGCTCCATGGCAGTTACAAGCTGTATTTATGTAAACAAACAGTAAACCATTGCAACGTCACCAATGGTAGAGAGTCGACTATTATTTTAAACAAACAGCACAGTGACACTCAACAAATTTTTAACTGGGATCTTCTAGTTTCACTGTGACCTGAAGGTTATTTGCCACACTGACGCGTTCTCAAGTCACAGTGTGTCCAGTTTTTTTAGTTAACCAGTTACCTTCAGCACTTTGATCAGCTGATAATACTGTGTTAGGAAAGCTTGTTCTTTGCCTTTACTTTTATTATTCACATTTATTTCAAATTGAAGTTTCATTGTATCGTTTGACATATAGTAGTGAACTTGGTGCAAAACGATAACTTATTTCATCCTTTTTAATTTATCCATCAGTGGTTATATGCACATTTTTACAGTTTTATTGGGGTTCGGATTAAATGTGCCATGTCTGGGATGTTGAGAGAGTTTGCAAAAGGGGGGAAAAGGGTAATTTCTTATTTAGTCAGCTGTGCCCTCAATTGGCTTTGAGGTTTGGGAAATGTATCTTTTAACTTGGCTGTTGTTGTGCTGTGAGGATTGTGTGTTTGGACACCGAGACCTGGCCTGCCAAATTTTAATAATGCCTTATTTTACAGCCCAGCACTAGTAACTATCCCAAGATTACCAGAAGTTAACTTTGCACAAACGAGAGCACCTGAATGACTCCACGGCCAGGCCGGAGAATACTGTGAAATACTTACAACAAGAATGTCACAGATCATACAGGATGTTCTGTACATTTTGTATTGAATGAAAATGTACTTTCAGATGATCACTGAATGGTCTGCTTTAAATAATGGGACATGTATTGATAGTAATCTGATTACTTTCAGGTTATGTAAAAGTTTCCCTACTCTGCTTTTTGTATTTTATGGTCCATCTTCTGAAGGTCACCAGGAGGATGTTACTCCTCTGTACATTGTGAGTATAAAATACATTGCTGGGCTGTAGAATAAAACATTATCGATGTTATCATTGTCTTTGGGTTTCATGCTTATATTTTGTTGATGTTTTAGCTTTTTATTTATATCCATTATCATGCATGAATGTAATTAACAAAGGCAAATATAGTCTACACAACATTTCCTAGTGTTTAGTGTTGCATCGTTAGGGCGTGACTACATTTAGTTGGGGTTTATATTTCATATCTAAGTAGCCCACTGGCTTTATTCCACAATAAAGGGCTCATTAGGTCAATTGATTGTTCTTACCATTTGAGAAGCGACCGATATGGTCAAGTTGCCACAAGTCAATGGAAGAAGTCCAGTTCATTATGTCCACGTGCTCCAAGTCTCATACTCCAATAAAAAAAGTGTTTTTAAAGCTAGTTTTGGGCTTAAAATTAGATTTATTTTCACTGTTAGTAAGATGAATCACTGTTACGTAGAAAGTCTAACTTATTAAAAGATTGTTAAATGCCATTTCTGAGTGCTATATCCTAAAGCAATTAAATAGGTTACGTCTATTTTTTTTACCATATGGAACACACGTTGTTCATATTGTCTCATCTTCACCCAAATGTTTTTATTTTTTTGCTGGATGTTTTATTTTCAATATCTTTGATACAGATTGAATCTCATGCCAAGATTTATTATAGTAGGTGGCAGTACTGTAATGGAAATTAAAAGCATTATTTTAATCAGAATCAGAGGATAACTAGTATCAGAAAGTATAAACCCAAGAAATATCTAAAGAGTATTATATGATCATCTTAGCCCTTCAACCCTGTAATATATTTGCACATAAATTGTCAGATTGCAGGATGACCCGTGGTCTAATAGTGGTACCCTTGTATGTACATAAGGACGGTGACACTATCATTGACTGAAGAGTTGCTACAATAGAATATATTATTTTGCAGTTCACTTTTGTTGCAAGCTAAAATGTATCTTTGTAAATACTGTGGGTGTATTTCAGAGCTTTGTTATTTAAATAAAATTTAAAAAAGCAGGTGGAATTCATTTCTTTGTGTGCACCAAGTCATTTACAAATTGCTCAGACAAACCTGATTCCTTTCTCTACGTGTTTAGAGTGATCTGCAGAAATGAATCCTTTATGGTTAACTTGGATGAAGCTTTGTTGCAGCGAAACCACACAGGCAGAGTCTGTTTGGGTTCAGGGACACAGAGTGGACGCAGCTCTTCAAAAGGCAGCTGACCAGGAAGAAACCAGAGTGGGTTGATGGTATGTGGGCCAGTTATTAATAACAGCACATAGTAGAGGTGGGCATTTGGACCTATCTTCTTTCTTTATCACGTCAATTGTATGCATTACATTAAAGCAAGGCCTCAAACATATATTGTCACAGGGGAAGATGTGAAACTAAATATTATGGCAAATGTAATTGATTGTCGCCCTGGAGAATGAGACCGTTACAAATAATGATTTTGTCTCACATTCAAAAACTCGTTTCCAAAATTCAATTTGCTGCTCGTCGTACGTCTCAACAAAAGTGACTCCAGATTTACTGCGTGAGACTTTTGCTCCCTGACAGAGCACACTGACGTATCTTCTGTGTTGTAATGTCGTCCTCACATTACAGACGTGACAGAAATTCTTAACAAATCATCCGTCAGCTGAGCGCACATGACCGTGACCTTCACTGGTTGTGTATTCAGCTCTGATTATTTATACAACACCAGATAATGAAAGAATATCCTCTTTACAGTGATGGAAATGTAACCTGCTTTATTTTACACGTACCTTTATATAACCATTAACAAAATGAGATCAACAAAGTGTTAATAAAAACCTTTATTTTTCATTTTTTGTTAGGTTTTCCAATATTCGCTCTTCCAAGCTTTTTCTTGCCCATTTGACCCAGCCAGCCCGATCCCCCAAGTGTTTCTCTGATGAATCCACCTGCCATGAATTCTCCCAGTTAACATGTACAACTGTTATGCTCCTCTACGATCAAAATAACTACGTCTCTTGAACCACCCACACGAAAGAACACTACAATAAAACACAAACACACCTGATGAAGCCAGAAGGAAGGTGGTAGCAGAGCGTAGAGATTCAAACATCTGAGTGAACTACTAAACTAGCGCGGCAAGAGTAGTAAAAGATGCAAGAGCTTTTTAACTACACAAAAATGGAGTGTTGACAAACCCAGAACTTAAGAGCAAGCTTGAAACATTCAAGTGAAACACCTGAAAAACAGCACCGGCTAAAGCCCACAAAGCTAGGCAAGAAATCGTGTATATACAAGATAGCTGCGGCCTTTCTTTTTGTTCGTTGTTAGAATTTCACAGTGACCAGTGGGACTGAACATTACAGTGAGACTGGACACTACTACAGTTGGTAAACTATGGTAATCATTGTGGTTATTACAAGCAAGTGATCGCACAGAGCTCATACATTCAAGCTATACATATATATACCTATGTACACAAAGTATAAATAAAACCACAAAATGAGAACCCAAAGATTTTATACATATTCAACACCAAAAAAAAAAAAAACCCTGTAAAAAGGGACACAATCAACCTGGGAGGGTTCTACTGCTACAAATTAGGAAATCCAATCAAGCAAGTGCTCATTTTGGAGTAGTTGATGTTTAAAGCGCTCTCCTGTGGGGATAAAGTAACAAACATACACTCAAATAAGACAGGACTTACACAGCCCCCCCCCCCTCCCACCCCACGTTTCATTCAAGCTTGCTCTTAAGGATTTACTACAGGCTGCCAATTACAACACCCTTCGCTCAAATCTTATCATTACTGTAACTGTACATTATTTCTTGGTTCTCTACCATTCTGAAGACCCTTTGAGCAGAGAGAAACATTAAAAATAGGAAAGCATGTTAACGGAAAAAAAAAGCGGAGGAAAATCATTTCTATATGGACAAGACAGTTATTTTGATCATAGAGGGAATACAGGTCATCATTAAAAAGAAAAAAACCTATAAGTTGGAGAAAAAGGGGACACCAAAGATTTAAAGGGGCAGTATCTTTTAACTGATTTTCATGTTTGTGAATGTATATGTTGAACAGTTTGTTCATTTTACTTGTAAGGACCTTTTTTTTTTTCCTTTCTAAAACTGGAGTGTTCATAAATGGGAGTGAAACGCATGGATAGACTGGGTGGGATGACATCTGGGAACATTGCATAGAAGAATCTAAGTTGAGAGTCTTGATTGGAGAAAAAGGTCTTTTGCTTGCGGATATCCTCTAAAACAAATCACTGCATTAGCCAAAAGCAGGAAAGGTTGAGTCGGGTATTTAACTTTAGATATTTAAAGAAATATGAAGGAAGTAATTCGCTCCCACAATTCCCTTTGGATGCCACTGCCTATTCATAGTTCAGACCTTGTGCCCAATGAAAAACACGCAGGCACTGCACAGGGGAAAATCTTAGCGATGCTAGCAGACTTCTAATGGTACATAGTTTGAGCCTACTATGGGTTAACATGTATGTGTGTCTGAAGTTTTTACCGCTCATGTTCCAAATATGGAGACATGAAAGGAAAACCCATCAGTGGTTACCTAAACACACTTAAACACTAATGGTGTGACGATTTAAAAAGGCCCTTCTTTCGTGAAATGACATTAAAAGCGTACTGTCTCTTTGAATCCCATTGAATCCCTGGGGTTGGAAATGACAGGGGGTCAATTTATGTCTGCCTTTTTGATATTCCCACCTCCTCCCACCCTTCACACTAACCCCCGGCTCCTTTCAGGTGGTTCTTCAGCCTGACTTTGCTCCCACCAGTGTCATCAGTCCATCTGTGCTCATGGACTTGGGGCGCTCCAAGGGGAAGCCGAGGGCTCTACTCCACACCAGCTGGGCGAGCACGCCGAGAGCTCGGGACACACCGAACAGCACAGTGTAGTAATTCATCTCAGTCATTCCATAATACTGCACAGACAGAGAAAACAGACACAGATCAGAATCTGTATTTGCAACCATAAGATGACAAGCGTAGGATTATATGCCATCATGCATGTCTTACCTGCAGCAGCACTCCGCTGTGGGCATCAACATTGGGCCAGGGGTTCTTGGCCTTGCCCTGCTCCAGGAGCACGTTGGGCACAATCTTATAAAGCTGGGCAACCAACTTGAACATGGGGTCGTTGGGCAGGTGCTTCAGGGCAAACTCACGCTGGCAGGTGTAACGGGGGTCAGTCTTCCTCAGGACAGCATGGCCATAGCCTGGCACAACCTATGAAGAGAGAAGAGAACTTTTTAACCCGTGCAACCTACCAATCTTTGCGTAGCATGTTTTAGAACATTTAAGTGCTCATTAAAAAGAAAATACCCAAGCTATGTCATTTTATTTCATGTTTTATATTGCAATCTCAAGCTGTCAAAGGCAGAGAGTCCTTGTGACGTATAAATTATTTCCTAATTGAGTAAGGTTGTCGCTTAAAAAAAAACAAACAATGGCAGTAGTATCCTTACCCTTCCAGATTTAAGTGTGTTCCAGATGTAATCCCTCATCAAGTCATCAGAAACTTCTCCACCCATCTCCTTCTGCAGGGCAGTCAGCCACACCAGCACCTCCTGTGAGACGCAGAAGAAAATACACACTAATGAGTTAAAACTGTGAATTTCAAGAACGGTGTGTACAGTGCAAACAGTAAAAATACCACAGCGGGGTGGGGTGTGTGTGTGTGGTGGTGGTGGTGGTGGTGGTGGTGGTGGTGGTGGTGGTGGT